GAGAGCCGGGGATAGCTTGGAGCGGCTAGCGGAGCGTTAGCCACAGCATGACCGGAGGGAAGCACAGCCAGTTAGCCTCCGCTAGTCTCTGAGCTAGCCCCAGCTCTTCGTTTGGATCCAACCGGAGCACCGAGCCCTGGTTTGTTATTCAGGTTAAAGTGGGAAGCGGGTTTATCGGGCAGCTGAGTGTGGAGCCTGCGGAGTAAACACCGGGACCGTCTGGATGTAATAGTCCGTGGAGGTGCTGTGGTGCTCGGCTGCACAGATAGGAAAACCCTCAGTTGTCAGGATGTACCTCTCTCTCTCTCACACAGGCGCAGAGCGTACGTGCCACTTGGCCATCAGATGTAGTCCGTGTAGTGTGTTCAAATGCAACTGACACAGGGCAACGTGAGGCGACGTAAACGACACAACAGTTGCCTTTCGTCGCTGCTAGTTCTTTGATGTCAGTTTGGTATGTCCGCACCTTAAGTTAAGCAGAATACAAGTATAAGGTGTAGGAAACCAAAAATGTAATGTCCTCATATGGGGACACACTGTTCCTTTAAACATACCAGTTAATTCAGTTATGCTGATGAAGATGCAGGGTGTTTTTATGTGTGTGTGTGTGTGTGTGTGTGTGAGTGGTATGAAAGACTTAGAAAAACGTATTATTAATTTGATTAAGTTTGGGTTGGGTTTTATTAATTTGCAGATGAAACTTGTCATGTTGTTCCAGTGTTTAGCTCTGTCACCTCACAGCCAGACGATCCTGGGTTGGAAAGACTGAATCCAGACTTGATTCAAATATCTTGTGACTCGCTGTGTCCAGGGTGTAATCTGTCAATCTACAAAACAGCCGGCTGCGCTCTACACTTTCTCTAATTTATCCTTAACTGGCAACAAATGAGCCACTATTAGTGTTCCTGACAACTGAGACTGATTTATTGCACCATCACAGGTAAAGTTAGTCCACCTTTTTAAAAACAGAAATACTTCATAATTTTATAATCATGACAGTATCCATATGAAATGCTGCAATCAGTTTAATCACAATATCAGAAGGACTCAACATCTGAAAGCAACATGTTCAGTCTCATTTAAAGTCGACATACAATCATTTGTAATTGGTGGACATTTAGGTTTGGGTTTAGGTTTGAGATTAAGGGTGTTTCTGGAAGTATTAACAGCTGAGGAGCAGTGAAAGATCTGTCGTTGACTTTAAAGGGAAAAGGAGGAGAAAAATAAGGTTCAAGAGTTTCTAAGTCATCCTCGTATTCTGAAGTCTGCCTCAGTATTTCATAGGAAATCCATAGGAAATTGTCAATTATTATATGTTGGCAAAAATCACAATAACATCAATGAAACCCCTCTTTTCATATTTACAGATACATGCGTCAGAATGAAATACAACTTTTACTAAAATTTGGTGTCGAGACTTCATGTATTTTCCTCAAAAATACTGACAAAACTGTATCCAATGAGTCAGAACCGTTGGTCATTCATTTTACAGCAGTAATAAATTATTTTAAAAATATTTTTGAATTACTGTAATCATTACATACTTTAATCAAACTGTATTTTTGGAGATCAGAAGAGCTAATTCTGAAAACTGAGGAGTCATCTCCAAACCATCTGATTCTAAGGAGAGTTTACCTCCTAAAAGTTGAAGTGTCCAGTGTTTTTAATTGAGAAATGAGCTCTGTAGCAAACTAGTGTTAAACACACAGTATAAACTGCTCATCCTCCTGGAATGAAGCAAAGCTTGATAACCCCTCCCTCCTCTTCCTGCTCTCAAACTCAGCCAGCTCCACTCTGTCTGCGTATTTCCTTGTTCCCTCCCCTTCAGATCTACAGTTTGAACCAACATAGTGATGAAGTGAGAGAGCTGACAGGCCCCATTCACTGCACAAACACATGATGTTTAGATCAGAACTCAAACTACTTTAAGTTATGAGAAAGTGAAACTCAGACAGTCGTTGTCACTGAGAGGTGAAATGGCGCAGAAAGGAGTTCAGCTGGACAGAGAAACCTTCTCTTGTTCCATCTGTCTGGATCTACTGAAGGATCCGGTGGCTACTCCCTGTGGACACAGCTACTGCATGAACTGTATTAAAAGCTTCTGGGATGAAGAGGACAAGAAGAAAGTCCACAGCTGCCCTCAGTGCAGGCAGACCTTCACACCGAGGCCTGTCCTGCTGAAAAACACCATGTTAGCAGTTTTAGTGGAGGAACTGAAGAAGACTGGACTCCAAGCTGCTCCTGCTGATCACTGCTATGCTGGACCTGAAGATGTGGCCTGTGATGTCTGCACTGGGAGAAAACTGAAAGCTCTCAAGTCCTGTCTAAAATGTATAAAATCTTACTGTGAGCAACACCTTCAGCATCATTATGAAAAAACTAAATAAAAAAAACACAAGCTGGTGGACCCCTCCAACAAGCTCCAGGAGAAGATCTGCTCTCGTCATGATGAGGTGATGAAGATGTTCTGCCGTACTGATCAGCAGTGTATCTGTTATCTCTGCTCTGTGGATGAACATAAAGGCCACGACACAGTCTCAGCTGCAGCAGAGAGGACTGAGAGGCAGAGAGAGCTGGAGGTGAGTCGACAAAACATCCAGCAGAGAATCCAGGACAGAGAGAAAGATGTGAAGCTGCTTCAACAGGAGGTGGAGGCTATCAATCGCTCTGCTGATAAAGCAGTGGAGGACAGTGAGAAGATCTTCACTGAGCTGATCCGTCTGATGGAGAAAAGACGCTCTGATGTGAAGCAGCAGGTCAGATCCCAGCAGGAAACTGAAGTGAGTGGAGTCAAAGAGCTTGAGGAGAAGCTGCAGCAGGAGATCACTGAGCTGAAGAGGAAAGACGCTGAGCTGATGAAGCTCTCACACACAGAGGATCACACCCAGTTTCTACACAACTACTCCTCACTGTCACCACTCAGTGAATCTACAGACTCATCCAGCATCAATATCCGTCCTCTGAGGTACTTTGAGGATGTGACAGCGGCTGTGTCAGAGCTCAGAGATAAACTACAGGACGTTCTGAGAGAGAAATGGACAAACATCTCACAGACAGTGACTGATGTGGATGTTTTACTGTCAAATTCACAACCAGAGCCCAAGACCAGAGCTGGATTCTTAAAATATTCATGTGAAATCACACTGGATCCAAACACAGCAAACACATACCTGTTATTATCTGAGGGAAACAGGAAAGCAACATCAATGGGTAAACAACAATCTTATTCAAGTCACCCAGACAGATTCACCTTTGGTTGGCAGGTCCTGAGTAGAGAGAGTCTGACTGGACGTTGTTACTGGGAGGTGGAGTGGAGAGGAAAAAGAGTTGATGTAGCAGTCGCATTCAAGAATATCAGCAGAGCAGGGACTGAGATGGTATTTGGATGCAATGGCAAATCTTGGATGCTGGATTGTAGAAAAACCTGTTATCAGTTCTGCTACAACAATAACCAAACTCCTCTCTCAGGTCCTCAGTCCTCCAGAGTAGGAGTGTACCTGGATCACAGTGCAGGTATTCTGTCCTTCTACAGCGTCTCTGAAACCATGACTCTCCTCCACAGAGTCCAGACCACATTCACTCAGCCTCTCTATGCTGGACTTCGGCTTTACCTCCCTTTTGGAAGCACTGCTGAGTTCTGTAAACTCAACTAGACAGAGGTTATTAAGGGACAGTGGATTAAATTCTGTTTTCATTCTTAAACGTATTTTGTCATCCCCATTCTCTCTCCTCCCTTTCCTGCCAGTCTAAAGCTGCTCTATCATTAATGCAAAAGCCCTAAAGAATAATGTTTTTTTAAAGTATACTTCTCTGTGCTCTCCATGTTTGCTGGATATTTGTACCAATGCACTCGTAAGTTGTTGTTTCTCTTCCACTGCATGGATCTTAAGAGAGAAAACACCACAGCTTCCTTTATCACAGATATTTTGCTTAGTTTTTATAAAAGATTTAAGGTGAACTATAATTACATTTACATTTATTTGTCAGACCAAATGTTGTTGCCCAAAGTGTATACAAATAAGGTACGATGACATGTTATAAACACTGATTGTGCGGCTGAAGTGAATCTGTACATGAAATCAATGAAAGTGAATGATTTAACAGACTTTACTGATGTGATGTGAGAACAAAGTGAACATAATGAATAAAGAAACATAACCAAAGTATTTTCTTCTTGTCTTCATTCCAGGCAAAACTGATGAAGAGAATGTGAAAGTGATATGATAGTTTAACTGAGGCAGTTTTCCTCCTGAAATGCCACAAAGTACAGTGTTCATGTTTAGAAGAGAACAACTTTTCATATTCCTCATTAGCACCACTTTGTCACAGAGAAATGAGCAGAGCTTTCTATCACTTGTTTGTTACGACCAACATTTTTTGGTGCGCTTTGTCAATAAGGAGGATATGTTAAAATACTGGAGAAATAGCCAGAATTCATTTTGTCAAGTTTGGCTGTGAAGACGTTTTGTTGAATGCTGACACATGATGTGTAGCTGATTCTTCATATTTGGTTACAAGTATTTCAATGATGTTTAATTAGAATTCAAGAAGTCAGAGAAATGTTAATGTATAGCCTCAACATTCCCAAATAGTATTTACAGCCTGAGAGATGATATGAATATCATTCATAAAGTGGAAACACTTCTCTACCATCTTTCCCATGTGCCCTGAATGCAGCATCAGTGTTACAGGGTGTGACTCCTGTGAACAAACTGACACAGTGTGATATTACAGATATTTAAATGTTTCTTTGCTGATGTTGTTTGAAGCTGCCAAAGGCTCAGTGAAGTTTTTCCTTTACTGTTATTCTGTGAGCCATGGGATCATTTTAGACTCAAACTATTATGAAATGAAACTGTCGGAGATGTTTGGAGGGTGAATCTGTCTTTGGAGAAGAAACATCCAGTGGTTTAATCTTCAGCAGTGTATTTGTGAATAATATTTTCAGTGCTTGGACAGAGTCTGGTCTGACTGCTCTGCTGAGGTTCTGTCTCTTCAACAGTCTGTTAACGTCCCTTTCCAGGATGGAGAAAGTCGTCACTGGTGTCAGGACTGTGCTGCTGTCTTTCAAAAGGATCAACTAGGATGAATTTTCCATCTTTCTTGTAATGTATTTCAGATATTGTAATCATTACATACTTTAATCAAACTGTATTTTTGGAGATCAGAAGAGCTAATTCTGAAAACTGAGGAGTCATCTCCAAACCATCTGATTCTAAGGAGAGTTTACCTCCTAAAAGTTGAAGTGTCCAGTGTTTTTAATTGAGAAATGAGCTCTGTAGCAAACTAGTGTTAAACACACAGTATAAACTGCTCATCCTCCTGGAATGAAGCAAAGCTTGATAACCCCTCCCTCCTCTTCCTGCTCTCAAACTCAGCCAGCTCCACTCTGTCTGCGTATTTCCTTGTTCCCTCCCCTTCAGATCTACAGTTTGAACCAACATAGTGGTGAAGTGAGAGAGCTGACAGGCCCCATTCACTGCACAAACACATGCTGTTTAGATCAGAGCTCAAACTACTTTGAGTTTTGAGAAAGTGAAACTCAGACAGTCGTTGTCACTGAGAGGTGAAATGGCGCAGAAAGGAGTTCAGCTGGACAGAGAAACCTTCTCTTGTTCCATCTGTCTGGATCTACTGAAGGATCCGGTGGCTACTCCCTGTGGACACAGCTACTGCATGAACTGTATTAAAAGCTTCTGGGATGAAGAGGACAAGAAGAAAGTCCACAGCTGCCCTCAGTGCAGGCAGACCTTCACACCGAGGCCTGTCCTGCTGAAAAACACCATGTTAGCAGTTTTAGTGGAGGAACTGAAGAAGACTGGACTCCAAGCTGCTCCTGCTGATCACTGCTATGCTGGACCTGAAGATGTGGCCTGTGATGTCTGCACTGGGAGAAAACTGAAAGCTCTCAAGTCCTGTCTGGTGTGTGTCGTCTCTTACTGTGAGCAGCACCTTCAGCCTCATTATGATGTAGCTCAGTTAAAGAAACACAAGCTGGTGGACCCCTCCAACAAGCTCCAGGAGAAGATCTGCTCTCGTCATGATGAGGTGATGAAGATGTTCTGCCGTACTGATCAGCAGTGTATCTGTTATCTCTGCTCTGTGGATGAACATAAAGGCCACGACACAGTCTCAGCTGCAGCAGAGAGGACTGAGAGGCAGAGAGAGCTGGAGGTGAGTCGACAAAACATCCAGCAGAGAATCCAGGACAGAGAGAAAGATGTGAAGCTGCTTCAACAGGAGGTGGAGGCTATCAATCGCTCTGCTGATAAAGCAGTGGAGGACAGTGAGAAGATCTTCACTGAGCTGATCCGTCTGATGGAGAAAAGACGCTCTGATGTGAAGCAGCAGGTCAGATCCCAGCAGGAAACTGAAGTGAGTGGAGTCAAAGAGCTTGAGGAGAAGCTGCAGCAGGAGATCACTGAGCTGAAGAGGAAAGACGCTGAGCTGATGAAGCTCTCACACACAGAGGATCACACCCAGTTTCTACACAACTACTCCTCACTGTCACCACTCAGTGAATCTACAGACTCATCCAGCATCAATATCCGTCCTCTGAGGTACTTTGAGGATGTGACAGCGGCTGTGTCAGAGCTCAGAGATAAACTACAGGATGTTCTGAGAGAGAAATGGACAAACATCTCACAGACAGTGACTGATGTGGATGTTTTACTGTCAAATTCACAACCAGAGCCCAAGAGCAGAGCTGGATTCTTAAAATATTCACGTGAAATCACACTGGATCCAAACACAGCAAACACATACCTGTTATTATCTGAGGGGAACAGGAAAGCAACAGTAATTGGAAAACAACAATCTTATTCAAGTCACCCAGACAGATTCACTGATCGTTGGCAGGTCCTGAGTAGAGAGAGTCTGACTGGACGTTGTTACTGGGAGGTGGAGTGGAGAGGAGGAGGAGTTGATGTAGCAGTCGCATACAAGAATATCAGCAGAGCAGGGGTTGAGAGTATATTTGGAAACAAAGACAAATCTTGGGTGCTGGTTTGTAGAAAAACCTGTTATCAGTTCTGGTACAACAAAATCAGCACTCCTGTCTCAGGTCCTCAGTCCTCCAGAGTAGGAGTGTACCTGGATCACAGTGCAGGTATTCTGTCCTTCTACAGCGTCTCTGAAACCATGACTCTCCTCCACAGAGTCCAGACCACATTCACTCAGCCTCTCTATGCTGGACTTGGGCTTTACTTCCCTGTTGGAAGCACTGCTGAGTTCTGTAAACTCAAATAAACAGAAGTCATTTAAGAAACAGTGGATTAAATTCTGTGTTTTGATCTGAAATGTATTTTTTTCTCCATCATTGTTGCTGAGAGCTGATTTTTCTTTTCATGTCTTCACTGCACAGAGATCAGCTGTCAGTCAAACACTATGGCTGGTACTTTGACATCTTCTCATTAGTTGTGCTGTAAATGTTTGAGTTTCTTTAGGTGGCGCTCCTTCCTGTGTCTGTTTAACCATGGAGGCTGTCACTGCTCATGATGATGTTTCTTTACCTCAACTGATATTTCTCTGTGTGAAATTGTAAATGTCTCTATGTTCTAAATGTTTGTTCAATATTTGTTTGATGCATTTGTATGTTGTTGTTTCTCCTCCACTGCATGGGTCTTCAGATAAAAATCACCAGAGCTTTTTTTATCATAGATATTTTGTTACAATTTGTAAATTTGTAATAAGCACTTTAATGAGGCTACATTTACATTAATTTTGTCAGCAAAACAAGTGTTGTTGTTGTTGTCTAAAGCGATGTACAAATGAAGTGCTATGATGTATTATAAACACTGGTCGTGTGGATGAAGTGAATCTGTACATTAAATCATTGAACAACAGTCATGTATTTTGCTTCTTCTTGTCTTCATTTGTATTAAACTCAGCTGATGGAGGAAATGTGAAACTGATATGAGTGTCGTCAGACAGTCAGTCTCTGTCCTTTCAGCTTTCCTCACTAAAACAGCTTTGTCACAGAGAAATGAGCAGAGTTTTCTATCACTTGTTGCTTCTTACTGATAACATTTTATTTGTGCTCTAAGTCAGTAAAAAGGATTATTACATAGACATGTAATATTACACACACTGTGAGCTGACAGAGCTCATATTTGTATAGTATATTTGTATGGAAATGCATCTAACATTCAAATATACCTTCTCGTGTTTGATCAGTCTGGATATGACTGATTGATTTTGATGATTAAAAACACACATAACTCTGTACTGCAGTCATTACATATGTGACATCCCACACTAAACACAGTAAATGCTAAAAGCTTACTTCCATTGTGGTCCTGATCTACTGAAGGATGTAGTGACGACTGTGTGTGGACACAGCTACTGCATGAACTGTATCAGAACCAGGGTTAAACTTTGCCTCACCAATTCCAGTTTTGCTCTTTAAATAAGGAATGATAGGTTTGTAACATACAGAGACATTCTTTGAATTGAATGCCGCAGCCATGTAGTGTTTAGGGATTAGCATTCTCCAGAAGTAAAGACCAAGTTCTCTTTTTGTTGATGACACATAAACAGGCTATGCTTGTGGACCTAAACCTTTTACTACAGGGGTCTGGTGTCAGTTATTAACTTTGCAATCTTTAATGCTTACTGCTGCTATCGTCAACGAGATAGAGATTTGTTTTTAACTTTTTTTTCCCTGTACACACTTAATATTGTTTCTGCAATTTCAAATAAAAATGTCCTGTTGCTCACATACCTGTTTTTAAAGTGTTGTTGCTTTTTTCAGCCAGGAGATGGCGAAATTACTTTGGTCTAAAACGGTGTGTCACAGTCAAACACTGAAAAGTATCAAAAATGAATATGAAAATTGTTCATCTATCATCTAATTTATGTCACTGCAAACTTCAAATCGCATTTTGTTGTGTAAATTGAAATTATTTGTGTATTATTATCTGAGGGGAACAGGAAAGCAACAGTAATGGGTAAAAAACAATCTTATTCATGTCACCCAGACAGATTCACTGAATGTTGGCAGGTCCTGAGTAGAGGGAGTCTGACTGGACGTTGTTACTGGGAGGTGGAGTGGAGAGGAGGAGGAGTTGATGTAGCAGTCACATACAAGAATATCAGCAGAGCAGGACTGGACTTCGGCTTTCTTTGTTTTCTGGAGACACTGCTGAGTTCTGTAAACTCAAATAAACAGAAGTCATTTAAGAAACAGTGGATTAAATTCTGTGTTTTTGATCTGAAATGTATTTTTTTCTCCATCATTGTTGCTGAGAGCTGATTTTTCTTTTCATGTCTTCACTGCACAGAGATCAGCTGTCAGTCAAACACTATGGCTGGTACTTTGACATCTTCTCATTAGTTGTGCTGTAAATGTTTGAGTTTCTTTAGGTGGCGCTCCTTCCTGTGTCTGTTTAACCATGGAGGCTGTCACTGCTCATGATGATGTTTGTTTACTTCAACTGATATTTCTCTGTGTGAAATTGTAAACGTCTCTATGTTCTAAATGTTTGTTCAATATTTGTTTGATGCATTTGTATGTTGTTGTTTCTCCTCCACTGCATGGGTCTTCAGATAAAAATCACCAGAGCTTCTTTTATCACAGATATTTTGGACAACACCAACTAGGTGTTGTTGTTGTTGTTGTTGTTGTTGTTGTTGTTGTTGTCTAAAGCGATGTACAAATGAAGTGCTATGATGTATTATAAAGACTGGTCGTGTGGATGAAGTGAATCTGTACATTAAATCATTGAACAACAGTCATGTAACAGACTGTACTGATGGGATGTGAGAACAAACTGAAGGTTTACATGATTAATAAACAAACATAAACATTTTATTTTTTCTTCTTGTCTTCATTTGTATCAAACTCAGCTGATGGAGGAAATGTGAAACTGATATGAGAGTATAACTGAGACAGTTTTCCTCCTGAAACAGCACAAAGTACAGAGTTCATGTTCAGAGCAGAAGAACATTTGTCAGTCAGTCTCTGTCCTTTCAGCTTTCCTCACTAAAACAGCTTTGTCACAGAGAAATGAGCAGAGTTTTCTAACACTTGTTTCCTTCTTACTGATAACATTTTATTTGTGCTCTCCGTCAGTAAAAAGTGTTGTTGCTTGTTTCAGCCAGTAGATGGCGACATTACTTTGGTCTAAAACGGTGTGACTCGTCACAGTCAAACACTGAAAAGTATCAAAAATGAATATGAAAATTGCTCATCTATCATCTAATTTATGTCACTGCAAACTTCAAATCACATTTTGTTGTGTGAATTGAAATTGTTTGTGTATTAGCTTTGAAATGTCCTACCTTTAGTTTTACAGACACCTTGTGAGACCTTTTTATCATGTAATCTCTTTTAATTTTCAGATTTATTTAGGCTATGTAAACAACGAGGTTTGGTCCAGAAAAGAGTAGAAACGGTATTTAAAGCAATAAATTACAATATATTGTAATCGTTTGTGCTGTGCATAGGGAAAAAAAATCTTACTTATATCCCGTTTTAAATACGCAGAAGGTGATTTTGGCCACTTGTCGTTTACGCTGTGCAAAGCGAACGCGGAAGTAGGTACCAGACAATCATCTCGCTCCACCTCGACACTCTTCGACGTTAAACTGACTCGTCGGTCGACATTTTTGGCACAGCATCATCAGCGCTGACGTGAGACTACGTGAGCGAAGGCACAGGCCGTCCACCCATACTGTAATTAGTGACGAGTCAGACTACGTAAAACTTCGGTAAGTCACTGCAAAGCTGTCACATTTTTGCTCAGCGCCGGTCGGGCAGAGTCGAGGGACGATGTGCAAACACGTCTGCGGTGCTAAACTTTTCATTAAAACTTTGCTGTGCGAACAGGATGGCGAATTAGCCGACCAACATGGAGTAAAAAAATGCTCCCAGTCGGCTCCGCTGTAGCAGTTCCTTTCTGTCTAAGTTTACAGAGCTGCGTCAAGCCAGGCGGAGTAAGATGGATGCCGGAAGACTGAGCGAGAGACGTCTCTTCAAAATAAAATATTTTATATTAAGATTGAATCAGTGCTTCATTTTTTTAAATTTCTTTTTACAAAGTCTGCTTGTGCTTATTTTAATTGCGTTGATAAAAGGTTATATCCTTCAAAATAAAGTTTTAAAATGAAACACGTAAGGGCAGTTACCGCAAACTACAGCTAAAAATGACCTTGAATTGCAAAAAGCGGAAGTCACATTCGCCTTTAAGAACTTTTTTTTTTTTCAGAATTGAGTTTGTTCAACCTGATAATTCACAGTGTGCTTTATACCACTTGTAATATGCCAATAAAGCAAAAAGTGGAACTTGTTTTACATGTTGGGGGTTACATTTACAAAAAAATGAAAACCTGCTTTGACCCGTTTGCAACAATTCTCCTTAAATTTTGGATCTGAGGGTTTCCACTGCCTACAGTTCTTGGATTATGCATTATTTTAATTTAAATGTCTTTGATTTGATTTCATATTTGCACAATAAGAAAACTTTCTAATCTGATGAGTCACTCTTTGAGTTGCAGATACTTGACGACATTAACTTGAGATAGTGCTTGAAACGTTCCTTTATCAAACAGGGGCCCTGTAGTTGTGCATGAAGCTCCCTGGTGTGAAATTTTACATTGTACTGGAGGCTGTTGACATCAGTCAAGTCTTTGCGATCGTCAGCCTTTAAACTTACATCTATGTTGTTCATCGTTCAAGCAGGCATCTGAATTAATGTATATTACGTGTATATAAAAATTTCAAAGTCCTATTCAGTTCTTTAAGTCATCTCTCTGTTGCTATTTGGCCCCTTTTTTAACTATAAAGAATCAACATGGTGAAATGATAGTTGAGTTTTTGTGCCTGCATGTTGGATAAACAATCAACAGACATATTCAGACAGATCATTTTGACTCACAAGCAAACCATGGAGTCTCCTGTACTGAATTTGAAGTGTGTTCATTGTATTTAGCTACTCTGAAAACATAGTTTTGTGGAGAGTGTTCATTCCCCGACATTAATTTTGCGTGTTTATACTTCGAGGTGACAAACAGCTCAGAAAACAAAATAAATCTAAATTTATAGCAGGTAAAAAAAACATTTATTATGTAGCTATGGTCAGAAAAAAATCTTGTTAGAGGTGAGCTCCTGTTTAATAAAGGGGATATACTGTGTGTAATTAGTCCCTGGAGAGGCAAGTTTGGTATCACAGGAACAGACAATCATGTGTTTGTGATCTTTGATAATAGTTCTGGAAAATATAAGAAAGGCTTGTGTCAACCTCAGCACTACTATTAATGATCTGCTTGTCTATCTGTCTAGGTGACTGACTATGGACTCCTCAGTCTCGCCTCAGCTGGACAGCACTTTAAACGACACAGTGACAGATGGAGAGGAGAACCACAGTGAAGACAGTCCATCTCCTGCAGCCCCCCCTCAGGTACACACACAAACACACACACACACACACACACACACACACACACACACACACACACACACCTTGTTTTTAAAGTGTTCAACAAGTTAAACTGACAGAGAGGGGCATCCATAGACATTAGCCAGTGTTTAGATGTTGAAATCCCTAAAAATGTCTTCTTTTACATGTCACATAATGTTCCTCTGTGGATTTCGGTATGATTGGCTTGATTTGTGTCTGCAGGTGTCGGTGGCAACGGAGTCCCCTGGTGTGACTGTTGTCCAGCTGTGTGACGGTCAGGTCCAAGGGGTCATCCAGGCCCCCCAGACCTCTGTCATACAGTCACCACAGGTCCAGACTGTCCAGGTAAGAGCATGAGATGGTCTCTGCTGTGATTCATACTAATATTAAGCTTTGGCTTCTGTTGTGAAACTGATGGCAGGTCGGTCTGTAAAGTACTGAATATCAGCTACAG